TCGATGAAATATATTGTAAGGGACACTTGAATGTTAAATGAACAGACTATTAAACCTCGGTTAAATTTTTACCCGGGGCAAATAGTATCTCGCCTTTCGATGGACACAATATACTCCTTGAGACTACAACGATTCAACAACTTGCTGTACTGCGTATAACTTCACAGCAAATAACGAGAAAACGCTTATGTTTCCTATTATTTTCTTAAGAGCTAGATAATCATTTATTCTTAGCTCTTATCGATACTTTTATCATTAGTATTAATTAGGACAAGAAGATGACAGATCAAGGAGAAAAGAAAGCAATTGTCTTAAATAATTATTCTTAGAGCATTTCAAACTTCGTTTGTTGAAAAAGTCATAAGAGAGATTAGGGGATTTCTTTGTTCCTCAGATTAAAATCCTGGATCATTTAAGCTTTTACAAATAGAACTGTTGATCGAATTGGGTGAACATGAGAGCAAAAAGAAAAAGAAAGAGAGACAGAGAGAGAATTTTCTCTTCTCTCGACGAGCGTTCCGCGCGCATAGTTAGGCAGACACGCGCGCATACGCTCTCGACCGCCCTCCGGCTCTCTGCCCTCGCTGTCCTCGGTCTGCACCGCTGACTCCCTCCCTCCGACAGTTTCTCTACCCCCGCACGTGTACGCACGCGAAGATTTCTTCATCCATTCGTTTCATTCAGAGTTCACAGTCAGTCAGTCACCAGCACACCTCCGCCGATCAGCTGATCTCGACTCAGTGGCGGCGGTTGATGGCGGTGGCGGTGGCGGCGGCGGCGGCGATGGCGGCGGTGGTGGTAGTGGTGGTGGACGACGACGATGACGACAACGATGACGACGACGACGACGGCGACGACGACGAAGATGACGACGAAGATGACGACGATGACGACGATGACGACGATGACGACGACGATGACGACGATGATGACGATGACGACGATGATGACGACGACGACGACGACGACGACGACGACGACGACGACGACGACGACGACGACGATGACGACAACGACAACGACGATAACGACGACAGCAGCAACAGCAGACTGCGCGTCGCCAACCCCTCCGTCCCTCTTCCTTCTATCCCCCACCTCATTCTTCTCTTCCATCTCCTCTCCTCCTTCTTCACCTCCTCGTCTTCCTCTTGCTACCACTGTTCCCTGTCCCCTCGATCCCCCCTAGTGGACGATCAGCTGACTGGGAACTGTCAGTCGCGCCGTGGGTCTGTGAGCCCACGTGCTACTCTGTTAGTGGTGGTGGGGCTCGTTCTCTCTCTTTTTCTTTCTCTTCTCTTTCTCTCTCTCTCTCTCTCTCTTTTTCTCTTTTTCTTTCTCTTCTCTCTCTCTCTCTCTTTCTCTCCCTCTCTTTCTCTCTCTGTCTGTCTCTCTTTCTCCCTCTCTCTCTCTCTGCATGAGTAGTCCGACCTCAACCTCGTAGCAAGGCAGTTCTTCGATACGACCTCCGATTCTACTCGGTCGTGTACTTTGACTATATGTAGGATCCAAAAATCGAACTTGAAGCAAATCTATATCTCTTGTTGTTTGCTCGGTTGAAAGGAAGTGCGAGTCTTAAGAACGGAGCATTATTAGTATCTATCTATCTATTTATTTATCTATCTATTTATCTATCTATTTATCTACCTATATATATATATATAGGTAGATAGATAGATCACCCTATCATCTAATAAAGAAAATTAGTTTGTTTAAAGAATATATATATATATATATATATATATATATATATATACACTCGAAAAAACTAGTTTTCTTTATTAGATGATAGGGTGACGATAGACACGAAAATATTACTGACGGGTCTGAATTTCTAACGGGTATACATGGATATCTACACCTTCTCTTAGCTTTCATTAGTATGCGCGCAAGGAATTCATTTCGTCGGGCTTCCCTGACGTGGATTATTATTATAGACGATAATTAAGCTGAAATTCAATGGCAACAATTTTTATTTCACCTCACATGGATATACGAATATCTCTTGCCATTTGCATTTTAATCGTGGGGAGAAATAATTAGTCTTTACCGCTCTAAGTAGAACTATTTCTGCTTTGTTTGCTGTTACGAAAAGATTGGTTTACAATGGCTTCTGTTTAACGAGTAGCAGTATTACTAAAAAAAAACTACCTTGCCACGGCAGGTAGTTTTTTTATTTTTATTTATTCTTTTTTTTTCTTCTTTTTAATAATTTAATTAAGTTGCTATTTTAAATAGAGTAAATCAATTATATTTTTGTTTTCTGTTTTTTTTTCTTTTTCCTTCTCTATTTTTTTTATATATTTTTTATTCAAAAGCGTTTATACGAGGATACATATATATGTTCATTTAACGATGACTTTAACATGATTTTGTGGGCACATAAAAGGAGGGTCAGAGTATGACAGGTACATTAAATAAAACAATGGCATTATTTCGAGGAAATACATGGCGGTGGTTTAGTTTAGTATATTCTTGGACATACGACTTTCAATACTGACTAATCATTCTTATATTTAAGTTTTAACGAATTAAACATCTTGCACATATATATAATTAAATTATAATATAACGTGATATAACGTAAGGAATTTATGACGCAATTACAAAGCGTTCAAGTTAATACGTTGTCGATCGTATTCTGATTAAAATTTATATATAACATCAACCAACAATTTCTCTATTTGTTGGCAAGCAATAATGTTTTTGCTCATCCCACGATATAGAAAGATTAGAGGATAGAAATTACGTATATTATAAATATATACCGATCTATTTATTAGACATACATAAACACGAGATTAAATTTACTGTATTTATTGGAAACGTACATAGATACTAATTATATTCCAACATTGATTACAAAATTGATGAAAAAGATATTTTAATATAAAAGATAAGAGTTAGCGTTTACATATGTTGCGAGCTGATTTTCTGTGGAAGATATTTTTACTAATTTAACTTGCAACATATACCAGCGTCACTACAATATTTACTAACGATCAATCATAATACATCGTACGTTATACAAAAATCGAGGAATACGAAATAAGTTCTTATTGCAATAAAATTATGAAATATCTAAAAGAAGAAACATGCTTAGAAAATGACTATCTATTTGCAATTCAATTACATTCTATATTTGCTGATCTTGGAAAACTACCAGTATTTCCGGTCTGGTACTTTGTTCGGTATATCATATAATGTGTTGTCCCAACGAATAAAAACTATTTCTTATTTATCTTATAAACTCCGCGTTATTGATTCATGTTATCTATAAAATATTATTCCGTTACTCGATGAATCTCTTGTACGTATGGAGTCATAATTCTTAACGAATTGCACTGAAAAGATAATTAACGAGAAAATATAAAAATATTATCATTTCGATTTGAAATAATAGTGAAATAATTTGTCGTCAACAAAAACATGCGGATGTTAATTTACGTCCGTAGTATGAGAAAAGTCATAGGCAGAAGAAAGATAGATGAAGCGAAGAGAGAGAGAGGGGGGGGAGAGAAATGGGTGGGTATAGAATCCAGTGGAAGGGGGAGAGGGACGATGAGAAACGTAGCGAGAGACGAAGGACAAGAGGCAAAGAGAGACCATGTCCTACCTCAACGAGAGCACATGGCGCCAAAGACACTTTCATTGCGCGGTCCTCCGAACCAAACACGTGGATACGTTCAACGCTCTCGAAGAACATTTACGCGCATGCGCATCGTTCTTTGCATTACCAAGGTCAAGCAAAGTTGCACGATTACGAGCGAGCCAGTCGTGATTTACTCGCGTGTAAATGCATTTGTTGTTTAGTCACGCTCGTCGTATATATCATCGAAGTCCTTTTTCAAGAACGAACTCGATATGTTTCAATCGATAAATAAAAAATAAGGTTTAAACATTATAGGCGGAAATGGGAGTGGAGAATAGAATAAAAAAGCAGAATATATGTTTATATATTTGTCTCTCAAAAAGGAAAGTCTCTTAGAGTACAGAATTTTTATCTATTTCGATTAATTCTAATCCATCCAATATGTCGAATTTTTGTATTAATGTCCTATGATGTCTAATAGCAGCAATCTCAATTGCTTAATACAGAATCCTATGGGATATAGAATCTCAAAGAAAAAGTTTGAATTGATTCAATAAATCAATTTGATGTATAAAAAGTCAATGCAATCTAGGAATAAATTTCTCGTTAATGTATGTAGGGGTTCGATCGTTTTACTGGTTTCTTCTTCGGATTATTATTCAGAGAGGATAGTAAAGACACAGTAATGTGCATTCGAGATATCTATCTCTAGCGAGGAGAGAGATCCAGCAATGCGAGTTCTCATCGTCCTGACCAACTTTCTTTCTTGGGCACGCGACAACGATGGCGGTAAGAGATTCATCGGTCATCTTTGATGCATCTTATTCCTTTGTCGCGAGGTCGTCCACAACGGGGCGCCACGTTCTCGGTGTAGGTAAGCTCTAGCTTTCTCTCTCTTTCTCTCTCTTTCTCTCTCTCTCTTTCTCTCTCTCTTTCTCTCTCTCTCTCTCTCTCTCTCTCTCTTTCTCTCTCTCTCTCTCTCTTTCTCTCTCTCTCTCTCTCTCTCTCTCTCTCTCTCTCTCTCTTTTTCTTTCTTTTTTTCTCTGTCTCTCTGTCTTCGGGGCATCGCGACGACGAGAATAGCAAAGGCACGGGCACGAATCCAGAGAGCACTGACCCAGTATCCACGTCCCTCCTCGATATATTTTGCCAAGGGCCTCTTCACACTTACATCCGTGGTTCGAACTATCAATTTTTTGGCGTCACACGTGTCGCAGGCGTGGTCACGAAAATTTTTGCGAAAGGGATATCATCCCAATATTTATATGGTAAAATTCCCCCTTTCTCTCTCTCTCTCTCTCTCTGTCTGTCTGTCTTTTTCTCTGTCTCTGTCTTTCTTCGTAGAAATTAAAATATAGCTAGATTAATTTCATTAATCTTTGAACAAGCAAACAAATAAAAAGGAAAATCGTTTTCTTTTACTTCTTCTTTATGTTACACAACAGAGCGATTTCTTTTATAGCGTTTCTAAACAAATTTCTATCCTATTGAATTTCTCTTTGTTCTCTTTGTTTGGATTTACATATTCCCTGCCCCCTCTAACCATCCTCGACACTTTTTATTTGCTTTGGTTATACATCAAAGCTTTGTTTTTCTCGACTTGTTGTCAACGTTATAAAGCCATTGTAATTCCAAGCTACAGAAAGTTTTAAATCCTTTCAACTGATAGCTTTTACAGTGCCACGAATACTTTGAATAATTACTTGGGTTATTACCTACTGAAGTTTTCCCTTCTCTCATTAATCTTTCTAACATAATCATTTCTCAATAGCAGAATGATTTTTTACGAAGTAATTAACGAATTGTTAGTCAAATGATATATTTATAGTCTGATGAAAAGTTGTCTTTTCCTTTTTTTGATCTTGCGTTATAGCTTGTTGAATTCTTCAAAGTCGTTCGATTCTCATTACTTCGAACTTGCTTTCATTATTTATATATGTACTCATTCTATGACAAGCAATTATTATAACGATCAAACTCGCAATATTCAGAATTCTTTATTCAGCGGAATCAATGGATAGTCTTGTCAGTGTGAAGAATATTTAAGTGAAAAATTGTCCATAATGAGCGCAACTTAAAAATAAATCTATTCTAACATTTTTTTTTAGAAATATTACATATTTGGAAAAGTTTACGCCATATTGTATTATTGATTAAAAGTCCTGTAAAAGGATTGCAATAATATCAATAATATTTACAAATAATTGATTTTTTACAAAAATAATTGATTATCAAATGTCTTCATAAATATATATATACTTCTTTTTTTTTTAGCAATTAAAAATAATCGTTTACGTAACGCATATTAATTTCTGCATTGCAGGTGAATACCAGAAATGAATGGGCCTCGCTATGCGAACAATTTCATCTGCCAAACGGCTGTGTCAACAGTGGAATCGGTCTTAAACAAATATACCTTCGGTAAGTGGACTTCGGTAGATCTCTTGGAGAGTGAATTCGACGAAAAAGTCTGGAAATTCCGAATCTCTTAATAAAAGTAGATATTGGATCAATCGAGCTTAGCCAATTGGTTTGACCAAGGATATATATATATATATATATTTTCACACACACACACACACACACATGATGCTTTCGTATATATTACGAAACGTTGTAGAAAAGAAAAAGAGTTTGCGCGAGCGTGCAAGCTTGTTAGGTCGCCGCGCGCCCTCGGATGGAAAGCGGTTCTACCGCCTCTGACAGCCCGCGAGCGTCTGCAAGAGCAGAGGTAGTAGCAAAATGCTGCGCTACCACCACCGAGTATCGGCGTTGGTCCTCCGCCCCACCACCATTTTCCGTATCGTATCGTACGTTACGTTCATTCATTCATTCAGTGCCGGCCTCACCGACGCGCCACGTGCTTTCTCAGTCGCTGTCCTCTCTCTCCAATCGAGCCCTGCAACCTTGTTGTCTCGCTAGCTCGTCGAACGTTGAGGACGTCGTGCTTCCTCCGACTGATATCGCGATACACCGATTCGTTGTTCGAAGTGTGACCGCTATTTGTATTCGTGATAACGATGTTTCAAATCTATTTATATACGAATCTCTCTTATATACGAATGTCTCTTTAAATTAGTCTTTTTTTTTTTGTAACTTTCTTTTTCTCATTAAGATAACAATATTTTCACATAGAATCATATTATACGAAGAGTGTAGAGTTCTCAACTATTTATAGTCATAAAGTTTTATCACACGTACGTAATTATACATATGCAAAGTATAAATCACCATAGTTCCTTTCACCATAATGATCTTTTAACAAGAAGATGCCATAAACATTTAAATTATAATATATTTAAACTGTAACATATTCTCTAGTTACAATGAAACAAATTAAAGAACATGTAGTGCTGTTGAGATTCGCACGGATACTGCTATGCCGCTACAGTAATCAAAGTGTCCATGCACGGCCTGCATCCACTAACCGCCAATCAGGCTCTGGTTGGCTGGCTCCACCGCTTGCACCTTCCGTGGTCTACTACTACGTAGTGCATGAATGGATTCACTACATCTTTCCCCCACCATTTTCTTTTGCCCCCCACGATATCGTATCCTCTCCCTCTTCCACCCCCATCTTCTTTCTCTTTCTCTCTCTTCAATTCACTCTTCACTTCATCTCTCGTGATCTTGCTTCTTTGTCTCTCAAATTGAATCTCTGATACTTTACATCTGCCTCATTCATCTGTCGATCGATCTGTTATTCAGTTTGTCAAAGAACCTTATTCAGAATTTTTTATCAATGAATATTTAAATTAAAGTAATTTCCCATAGCATAACAATGATCGTTATCTATTGAGCATGATACTTATATGTCAATTGGTCAATGTTTTTCAGATATCTAGACAGGTACGAAAAGGTTCATTTCTTAGGAGAAGATGGGCAGCAAGCCGATGATGAAGACGAAGATTCCAGACACCGGAAGTGGTCTGCCAGGGCATTACATTCAGTTCCTCTTACGTATAATCATCATCAACATAATGTTGCAGGTAAACTTTTATTTTCTAATCACGTGTTAGAAACCATGTAGTTCATTTAATGGTAATAATTAATGGAGATCTGTGTTAGATATGAAATATTTTACATTATGGAGGAGAATTTTTGTTCTGTCATTCAGATGTTATATTTCTTTGTTTGTTAGTTATTATTAATAGTTATTGTTTTTAAACGGATACAAAGATGTAAAGAATTTATTAAAAGATGTTCGCGAGATACAGGTGAACGTCCGCCGAATATATTGTGAAAAGGACTTGTACGTGTATACGTATCGCACACATCTATATAAACGCTACATAAATGCATGATATCTATCGTGACGAAGCCGCAACGGGTTATTGACGTGCTCTCTCATGGAGAATTGCCGTCGACTTTCAACGTACAAAAGATATATATATACGTACGTACGTACATACATACATACATACATACATACATACATACATACATACATACATACATACATACATACATACATACATACATACATACATACATACATACATACATACATACATACATACATACATACATACATACGTATGTACATACATATATATATATAGTTATATAGTTATATGTGGAGAGTGACTGAACTTGTCTGCTGTTGCCTGCGGTACGCTTGAGGGAAACAGATGGGCAGAACGAAGCGGATAGAGGCAAAAAAAAAGATGGACAACGCGTACAGAGAATTAACACATTACCAAGCGCTTTCTTGGACTCAAAGAGCTTCGTTCATTACAATGATAATATACAATGTTTTATATGTATATACACGCACACACACAAAACTTTGGCTAACACATTTGATTATTGGAATTATTTAGAAATAATCCTTGATAAACTACGCAACCCACGAGAAAGATTAAAAAAGAAAATCAAAACAAGAAAAAAAAGCTCGTAATGAGTACGCCGTTTTTTTACAAGTTGAGATCGTGAAGTTGCCAAGTTTCAACATAGGAATAAGAAAGAGAGAGATGCAGGAACGTTCACGGACTTTAGAGCGTGCACGCGTATATATGTGTATGTATACGTAGCGTATGTGCAAAGAAAAGATCTGATGCGCACACAGCACGTGGAAGATAATTTAATGAGCAATAATCATCGTGTTCTCTCTCTTGCGCGCGGGTGCATATGTTTGTGTACATGTATATGTATGTAATAAACGCATGTTATATAGTTTGTATGTGTGGGAATTATGGGCATACACAAAGCTGAGTCTGAGCTTCGACTGGCAGAAATACGTCGGGTCTATATTTGCGGCGCACGCGCGTACGTCGAACAATTCTTCGTATATAGAAGCGGTGAAACCCCCTCGACTCGTTCTTCTTTTTTACCTCTTTGTCACCTCGCTTCGTCACCTTCTTTTCATCTCCGTAAGCGCAAACTGCGGAGACGAATGATCTGAAGGTTCCTCCAGGATTCTGTAAATTCGTTAGAGAAACTTCAGTCAAACTACATAGTAAGATGTCAGATCAACATTTTTTGATTTCTTATTTTTTATCTTTCATTTCTTATCTCTCTGTTTATCGTTTTAGGATTTTATATATGAGGAGTCGATAAATTTTTTTGCATCTACAAATATTTTCTCAGAAAAGATTAGACAAATCAAGGCCTTCGTTTTTATCCTATCTTTAGATTTTTATATGGATTTCATTAAAATAAAAAATTATATATATATATATATATATATATATATATGTATATTTGCAAGTGAAATGCAATCCTTAGAATGACAAAGATTACGATTTTTGAATGAAACGATGGTCAATTAAAAATAAGCCGTAAAATCGTGATTATTTCTATAAAAAAGAAAAAGATTACGAGCAGTGTCTGGTGTCAAGTGGAATAAGAGAGATAATGCGCAGTACAAATGGAAGTTCGCGGAGGAGAAAGAGCGGCAGCAAAAGGAGCAAGAGGGGAATAGAACAAGAGAAAGCAATCAATAAACGTTTGCGGGAGATAGGAGCAGCAGTTCTTGACATTCTCCCTGCGCGATGGAACACTCACGGCGCTTGCGTGACTCCGCTGCGACTCTCGATTTTGATCCCACCAGTTCAGCGAGCGCGTGCGAAGTGCCTTGTGCGCGAATGTCGCATCGCGTTCGCCGCGTACGGTGTAAAGCAATCCCGGTGACGTCTCAGCCTCGATTGCGTGACGTCTACGCACCGCGCCGACATCCACTGCCAATCGATGACGCATTCAATGCATCCGATGCACTCGATGTACCGGCCAGACGCTAACCGAGCCTATGAGCTGTAATGATTCGACCTAATACAGTTTCCACAATCCAGAACCCAGTTTGATATCTGATCAGGTTCAAACGCAAGAAACGATTTTTTATTTTATAAACATACTCTTCCAATGAATATCCACGTTCGATATTAAAAAGAAATAAGATTTCTCATCGTTCCCTCTCTCTCTCACTCACTCACTCACTCACTCACTCACTCACTCACTCACTCACTCTCTCTCTCTCTCTCTCTCTCTCTCTCTCTCTCTCTCTCTCTCTCTCTCTCTCTCTCTCTCTCTCTCTCTCTCTTTCTCTCATTGATTATGTACCTATTTTTGCTTATATTTTTACTTTCTTTTTATTTATATGTTCCTATATGTTAAGAACAGAAAAAACAAAAAATAATGCTGATTTTAATACATGAAAGATAAACGATAGAGATCGATCCTTGCTTTATTTTTGTCTCAATCTTTTTTAGTTATTTTGGGTCGATGTATTAAAAAGAGACTAACATAAGTCTCCATAATCTTTTCTATCTCTCCTGCCAAACATTTTGGCAGACTGCCCAAACGGCGTTCAAATTTATCACATTAACGAGCTTCGATTTATTATAATCATATGATCGTCGATCTTTGATTTTCTCTTCAGAAGATTTTGTAGATATCATTTGAATAGGAACAAAGAACATCGTTATGCTGGCAATGAAGGCGTTTGGAACTCTTGTCGTTATGAGTCGATATAATGATACCTTTACTACGCTACCATATTTAATGGCAGCTGGTGGACAAGATAGTATGAGAGTTCGAGCGTAACGATCGTGGTTGATAGGCATTGCACGTGAAGCGATTGCGGTTATTGAACGCGACCTCTCGTCGACGGGCTATCTAGATGCGATACCGTAAAGCTGTTTTACTTAGGAAGCGTTGTGTGGTTTCTATATAACGAATAAATTTTCGTACCAGGTACAAACAAAGGCTTTTCTATCAATAGACGTCTGCATAATCATTCTTTCCTACTTTGTGGCATAGAACATTCGTTATCTTTTTCAACGGAATCTTACCGATACATAATATATACACGTATGTATCAACTTTGGATATATAACCGTTGAATATTTTTTTAAATTTATCTTTTATTGCATCGTAATGAGACTTTTGGTATGACTATAACGTAGTTATACGTTCGGTCTTCTTATTTCTTTAATATCCAAGGTAAACTTGTGGTGTTCTTTGAGATCTCTATTACTTGTATTCATAAATGGTATTAGTTTATATATATATATACACATAGATTTTATCGAGTAAAATTTAATATTAGTTGGATGATTTTTTCTTTCAGAATCTCTTCGCGATTACAATGGTCTTTCGTCCGATCTTTACAAACCATCCAACTACGACAAATTGGCATTATCGCTTCTTTCGCCTCTTCCAAACGAACAAGACTTCGCAATCAATGTTTGCACGCTTTTGTCGAACGAAGGAAAACATACGTTACGTCTTGATAAGTATCCACGTTTGGTGAATATCCTGCTCGCGCATGCTGGCGTTTTCGACTCGCCTGGTACGCGACAACTTTTCATTGAGGTTTATTCTCGTGTGAGGAATTATTCTATCAATTCGTTTTGGTCGGATGTACTCGATTCGCAAGACGTGATAGACCTTACGAACGAGAAAACCTTTATGAAGAAGCCATCAACGAGTTTACACACATTCTCCAGGCGGAAAACATTAGAGAAAGAGAAGCAAAATAAAGTGACAGTAACGGTCCAAGACAACGAGGAGACGGTCACGTCGATGGATGTGGATGGGGTAAAGCAATAGATTTCTTTCATTCTTTGGTTTAACAAAGATGTGGATAAAATAAATATTTACAAGAGCAATAAAATAACAATATTTTGTTGTAACATTTCAGGTGCTTCCAGACTGTTCACGTCTAGATCCTATTGGTTCTCATCAAGATGAGAATTTTAAAGATCAGAATCAAAATTCGATAAAGTTCGAAGAAGAGGATAAAGACTTGTTTTGCGTCGGTAGAACGTTAGGCACGCAGGATCCGTACGGTCAACGCGTGTTACAGATAGCGTCTATCTTACGAAATCTCAGTTTCACTCCGGAGAATGCCGCGGTGCTAAGCAGGAATCGATGTTTTTTGAGATTCGTTTTATTATGTATAAGAGCAAGGTGGAGTAATTTGCATCAACTTGGTTTCGATATACTAGGGAATATAGCAAACGAAATCATTTTAAAAGAGGCTGGCGAAAGGATAACAGATGTTGTCCTGTCTTGTGTGGCAAAAGGTATCGAGTCGCAAGATAGATTTATCGTTATATCCTGTTTAGAGGTGCTTAATAAGATCAGTCAACAGGATAGTAACGAAGAAATCGTTACGTTTGGATTGGAAGATAGCGTCTATGAACTTATTTGCAGGTAAATTTTCTAATTCTTTATCATCGATTGTATGTATATATATCATTGTCAATGAGAACTAAACGCGGTATTATTTCCTTTTTTCATTTTAGGTTTTTAGCTCTAAGTGATATAGCTCTTTTAGTTTATACTTTGGAGTGTTTATACGCTTTAACTTCGTTGGGCGAAAGACCGTGTACTAGTGTCGCGCGGGTACGTGGAGCTATCGATACATTGGTCGCGCTTGTCACCGTCGAAGCACAGAGTTATGGCCCAAAAGCTTGCATTTTGATGAGAGTGGTAGAAACTGTATCTACTATACCCACACCTTCGAATACGTCTCAGAATACTCCTGTTGCTGCTGCTGCCACTACTCCGGTTGCGTCAGTAACATCATCACCCGTGCCAGCTACTCCAGCTACGATTACCGCAACGTCGGCTCCAGTTAGCCCAGCACCTTCTAGACCTAATACACCTGCAACTACAACCAAGTCCACAACGCACAGTATGTACGAGCATGTATAATCCACGATCAATGATAGACTTTATTTTACATTGAATTTCATTTTTTTGTTTTTGTTTGTTGTTTCTTTTTTCTCTGCAGAAACAGTAGAGACGGCTAATGCGCTTCAACAACAACACGCTCATCAACAAATCATTCAGGAAAACGAGCAATTCGCTTTAGGATGGTTAAGAGCTACCTTTGAACTTGCACCAGGTATACGCATAGAACAAGAGGAACTCTACAAAAAATATCTCGGGTGTTGTACGAAGATTGGCAGAAGAGGAGTAATCGCGCCACTTCATTTTCCCAGATGTGTTAGGTATATCTAGATTTGAATAAATTAAATTAATATTTTTCGAAGCAATTAAATCCTATTACAATCCAAATTATAAATATAGGTCAGTGTTCGGGGGAACTATTGGTCCAAATCCACTCAAAGGAGAATCAACTGGTACTCAGTATTACGAAGGCATCCGTGTACGGACTACACCAGGCCAAGTAACTTATCCGAGCCAAACTGTAATTGCGACTAATACAGCTCCGATATCAGCGGTCAACACAACTCCAGTAAAGGTGCTTCCCGTACAACAGCGTACAATCAAGAATATAAGTCCTGCTCCCGATAGCACGGCCCTAGACAATCCTGCATCTGGAGTTCACAGAATTCCAGCCCCTGCATCTCCCATTCTAAAAGCCCAGTTGTCTGCCCCTCCAAAACCACCTTCCATTACGTCAAATCAATCCCAAAATCCAGTCACCAAGGTTGATTCTAAAAGTCAGGTGGGTCCAAATCCTAGATCTGTATGCCATTCGTTCATGACCTTGATTCTCATTTTGGTCGTAGTTTCATGATGCTATACATGTGGGCTTTTTATAATATATGCTAAAATTCCTTCCTAATCATGGTACAACGTATTATATTGCATGCTTTTCTGAGACAATGCAAGATTATGTGTGTATACCTATATATATGTATATATACATGTATATATCAGTGAATTTTGTTCCATAATATTAGATATGGAAATTTGCATTGTGTATGTGTGTGTGTGTGCGTGTGTGTATTAGAAAACAGAAACTGTGTTGCATAGTAGACTATTCTTAATAATAAGGTAACGCTGAACTAAAAACCTTTCTATTATATTAATACTTTAATTATTTCATATAGCTACGCTAAAATTAACACCAGTAAAAGAGACAGCAGAATTTCTCATCAACTTCTTTGCTATTTACAAAGCATAATAATCTAATTAGATTATATTTTATTTCAATATTTTTTCAATACTATTTCAATGTTATGAATTATCAAAAAATGGAATGGTTAAAACATGGTATGGTACTTTATATCAAGCATAAATGGTACTTTTATGAAATAATACTTTTTTGTCTTCTATGTAATTCAATCATCATGTTTTCTACATAAATACTTTATTCGTTCTCTTAGCATGTATTCAATTTATTCTAAACTTTATATTTGAAAATTGTTGAAGTGGTGAGAATTGTATATGACTACTGTCAATTAGGTATCAGTATCTCACCCCCACCTGAGTCAAGCATTGCTGGCCAGTGGATCCCAAAATCAGCAGCAGCAGCAGCAGCACTCCCAATCTGTCCAAGTAGTAACAAAAGAAGATAACCGAAGTAGTACTACATCCAGTTCTATAATAAAAAGCCTTTTGGCTACCAAGGTAACAGCCAGCAGTGACTGCATGTCCAGTGCTGCTGCAACTTGTGTGTCTACCCTTACTGCCTGTGTAACAAACACTACTACTAGCATCGCATCCAGCATCAGTGCCAACCAGCTAATAACAAGCAACCAGGTATAATTGTACATTAACATGACAAAGTAGTATTTATAGAAACTTTAAAAAGTATTACACATTGTACTTTATATTGTACTTTAAATTGTGTCTAATTGAGTAATGTGCATACTTATTTAAAATTATATATAAAGTAAATGTGTTAAAAATAATTTATTGACAATATTTCTGAAATATTTCATTATTTTTCAGTTAATTATTTGACAATTTCTACAATTTTATATTATAGATATTGTATAAATAATATTATGTGTCATAATAATCTTCAA